CTCTTTTCTTTCTTTTTACTGTGTTACAAATAGACAATAGTTTCTTCTTTTAGTTTTTTCTAAGGCAGAATCTCGCTCTGTCACCAAGGCTGGAGTGCAGTAGCACGATCTCGGCTCACTGAAACCTTCACCTCCCAAGTTCAAGCAATTCTCCCACCTCAGGGCCACTGCCCCTCCCCTCAACCCCACCACCCTCCTACCTCAGGGCCACCCCCCACCCCCATCACCCAGCAGCTGGGACTACAGGCGTGCACCACCATACCCAGCTAATTTTTGTACTTTTGTAGCGATGGAGTTTCACTGTGTTGGCCAGGCTGGTCTCAAACTCCTGATCTCAGATCATCTGCTCACCTCAGCCTCCCAAAGTGCTGAGATTACAGTTGTGAGCCACTGCACCTGGCCAAAAATATGCAATAGTTTCCTAGGTATGACAAAAGAAAACAGATAAACTGGTCTTCATCGAAATTTAACACTTTCTCTCTCAAGTGACACTATCAAGAAAGTGAAAAGAAAACCCACAGAATGGGAGAAAATATTTGCAAATAAATCACATCTGTTAAGAGTCAGGTATGTAGCACATCTAAAAACCTCTTATAACTCAACAATAAATAGGCAATTAACCCCTTTAGAAAATCGGCAAAATATTTATTTGAATAGACACTTCTCCAAAGAAGGTATATAAATGGGTAATAAGCACATGAAAAAGATATTCAATATCATTACTTATCAGGGTAAAGCAAATCAATACCACAATGAGATACCACTTTACACCCACTATGGTGACTACAATGAAAAAGAGAGACAATAACAACCGTTGGCGAGCATGTGGAGAAACTGCAAACTATCACAGACTGCTTGTTAGTGCTGCAAAATTGGAAAACTGTGTGTTTACTGTGTTTGAGCAGTTACTCAAAAAGTTAAACGTACACCCAGCAACTCTACTGCAAGGTGTACAGCCAAGAGAAATGAAAATACATATCCACATGAAATCTTTTACATCAATGTTCATAGAATCATTCTCCGCAATAGCCACAAAGTAGAACAATCCCAAATGTCCATCAACAGACAGATGGATAAAGAAAATGCAATCTACTCCCACAATGGAATCTTGTTCAGCCATAAAAAGAAATGAACTTCTGACACATGGTACAGTATGAAAGAATCTTGAAAACATTATGCTAAATGAAAGCCATCAGACACAAAGGCCAAATATTATATGATTCCAGTCATACAAAATGTCCTGAATAGGCACATCCATACAGACAGAAAACAGGATGCCAGAAACTGGAGGGACAGGGGAATAGGGAGTAAGTGCTAATGGGAATGGGAGGTGAGGGTGATGAAATATTTTAGATTTAAATAGTCGTAATAGTTGCACACTTTGTGAACATTAAAAAAAAATACTAAAGCATACACTTTAAAAAGTGAAATATCAACAGTGAATTATATACATATATAAATTTTTAATTTTTAAATGAAATGCAGCTAGAAGGAGAATGTATCTCAATTTTTTAAATACACTGATAACTTCACAAAAGGCCTAACACCTACTTGTGATAAAACTCAGATAAGGACACTTGACTTTCTTTTTTGAACCTTCAACTGTGCCCTTCCGGGTCTCTCCCAAGCACATCTTCCTTTCTTTCTACAGCCTTTTTAAGTAAACTTCCATTCCTGCTCTGGGGAAAAAAAAAAAAAAAAAAAAAAACCACACACACACAGACAAGATAAATAGAAACAGAAAACTGCCTCATTTTGATAAAGAACATCTGCAAAAATCCTACAGCTAACATCATACTTAGCACCTAAGATGAGAACCAAACAAAGATGTTTTGTCTCACCACTCTTATTTCACACAGTACTAGAAGTTCTAGCCAGTGCAATAAGGCAAGAAATAGAAATTAAAAGCATACCTATCTGAAAGAGATAAAACTGTTCCTATTTGCAGATGACAAAACTGTTTATGTCGAAAACCCCCAGAGGCTACAAAAAACTCCCACAACTATTAAGTTCAGAAAGGCTGTAACCTAAGCTGTGTAAGGTATGAAACGGAGAAAGGAGAGGATGGATGGATTTAGAGAAAGTGGAACAGTCAAAGGTTTGAAGTTCAGAAGAGATCAAAGAATTACACTGAGAGTTGTGTTAAAAAAAAAAAAATGAAGAGAAGAAGAAGAAAGAAAAGACAAGAAAGGAAAAGGAAAGAGAGGAACAGAGAGAGAAAGAGAAAGAAAGAAAAAGAAAAGAAGGGGAAGAGAAGAGAAGAGAGAAGGAAAAAAGGGAGGGTGGGAGGAAGGAGAGAATGGAGGGAGGGAGGGAGGGACAAGACAGAGAAAATTAGATAAAGAGGGAGACAGGTTTTATTCTATCACTACTGCAGTTTCTCTATGCCATCTCAATGTTCAATGACAGAAACGTTCAATGAAGGAAATTAGGTGGTTTGTCTTTTGAAAGCAATTGAACATTTTACTGGTCTCTCAAAAGTTGTGTAAAGAGATGAAAATCACTCAGGTTAGAAATTCTAAAATTTTACACATATGGCTTTATATTAGTTTCCTTAAATATTTTGGATCTAACAATTAAAACAGTAATACTACATATATAAAGCAAAAAGCTGAAATTACAGGCCTCCAAGAAAATTCTGTTAAGGCTTCCTTACCATTTGCTATTTTTAACACAGATGTCTAGAAGAACTGTTTCCAGCCTCAACCCTGCCCCTGTGTGCATGCACACGAACACACACATAAAGGGAATCTGGGGGCAATATTTGCACCTAGCCACTTATAATAAAAGGCTACTTGTGATACACCCAATGCCACACAGTTTCGGCATTCCTGAGGATAAAATCATATGTGTCACATCACTGGAACCCATAGAGTGTATGTACAATCTTTTAGGCAAGATACCCAGCGTGGATGCAGTCTTTCTCCCCAGTGCCAGCACTATAATGAGATTCTGTTTCATAGCTGTAATACTGGCTTACAAAGCACAAACGCACTTTCCTGCCACTGCTTTTACTTACTTGCCCAGCATGTTGTGTCCTAGTGCCAACAATTTTTAAACTGAGAAGCCACATCAACTACACAAATATACCCACACAAAAGTATTATCATATGTCCAGCAATTAACTGCCTGTGAAGAACCTGCCTGTGGACACCCAGCAACCCCACTCATCACAAGTGCACTGCTCGGATACCAGAATTCTGGCCCAGCTCTGCCAATGGTATGTTTTTAGAAGTACATATAAAAGTATGTACTAATGTACTGGGTAGAGAAAATTACACCATGGTTAAAATTATATACAAATGATACAGTTAGAAGATGATGAAATATAAGAAAATGTAGTGAAAATACATTTTGTATTTGATGGTAATAGCTAAATTATGATATTGTCTATTATTTTTTACAATCTATGAAAAAGAAAGAGATTAATGAATGCATTTTTTAGATCACTTTAAGTGTTTTATACAGAAAACATGCTGTTCAAAGAAAAATTTATTTGGAATAATAATAGGTACACAGCAGAGTATGAGTCAAAAGGCTTGCATTCTGTTACCTGCTCTGCCCTTATATTCCAAGTTACTCTGAGGAAAAGCCCTCAGACTTCACAGTCTCAAGATATTCAACATGTGAAGGCTTGTACTAGGGAAGACAGTAGCAGTGATGAGGAGAATTACTGGGACTCGGGATGTAGTTTTAAAAGTAAATCCAACAGGATTAGTTAATGAATTCAGTACCGGTTGTAACTAAGATACTTAAAAATTCTAAAATAGCTTAGCTATAATACAATGAGGTACCCAAGGTTAGAAAAAGTTATTCTCAGCAATTAACTTTTTGGTGTTTTTTTCCTTCATATAGGAGTAATTCACTCATCACAAGAATTACCCACTAGTCCTCAAGTATCATCACAATGTAGTGAAAGGAATACAGGAACTGGACACGATCATTACTTTATTCAACAATACTTACTGCACACCTATCACAAGGGACTCTTCAAGGCACTGAACTTACGCTCATTGAGAAAAAACAAAAAGAACAATAAAGGGAATAAAGTAAACTTCCTGCTCTCATGAGTAAACACATATTTTTCTGGTGATACATGGCTAGGAAGAAAACTCAAGCAGGGTGAGGGCACAGAGCTTTCCCTTAGAACCTTGGATGTGCTATTCCAGTGGCCTCAGTAATTCAGTGATACTGTATGAAGTGAGAGCTTCATGGAATGAGGGAGGAGGCCATAATGATACCCAGAGGGTGAATGCTTCAAGCAGAAGGAATCATAAGCACAGAGGTCCTGAAGCAGAATGTTCAAACTTAGGAAGGAGGTCAATGTGGCTAGAGCAAAGAGAACTTTCACAAAGAATAATTCAAATGACATCACAATGGTGGTGGGTGCCAGATCATGCAAGGCCCAGTAGGCCATGGTGAGTCACTGAATTGTAGCCTGGGTGTGATGGGAAGCCTTTGGAGGATTTGAAAGAAGACTAACATCACCTGACTTATGTTCTAAAAAGATTACTCTAGTTGCTATATGACAAACAGACTTTAGGCATGGGGAAACAGTAGAAGAAAAGATACTGTTCAGGAGGGAACCACAAGAGCCCAGGTAAAATCCCATGACAGCTTGCGTTAGGAAGAGAGTAGCAGTGATGACAATTACTCGGATTCAAGATGCAGTTTTAAAAGTAAAGCCAACAGGATTAGTTAATAAACTCAGTACAGGTTATGGAAGAAAGTCGTTGATTCACTCCATTGTTTCTGGCCTGGAAAAGTAGATGAATGAAAGTTAAATTTTAAGACCTAGAAACTCTTACTCAATTACCTAATTCAACTGTTCACATATAGCATAAATGTTATGGATGTAACATACATGCTATATATGTATGCTATACATATATATATATATATATATATATATATAACATTCACATATATGTTCACATATAGCATAAATGTTATGGATGTAAAACTAAAAGGCAAAAATAGCAATTACTTTTTCTACTCACCATTTGCAGATTGTATCATGTTTCCAGATTTCTGGACTTCATCAAATTTCGTAAAAATTACATTCAACCTGTAAGAAAGCAAAAACATAAACAAACTATTGACCATCACTGCTCCATAGCCATTAATATTAAAATCCTAATGTGAAGTTGATCTCCACCACTCCCCCTAAAAAAAAAAAAAAAATCAATGACACAGACCCATAACAAAACACAGTGACTAAATCAATAACATGAACAATAGCCAACAATAACTGGGCACTTACCAAGGGTAAAGAAAGGGCCTAGAAGTCTATCTGAAAGATCTCGTTTAATCTCCTTGAGGTGACACAGGTGTGGGGTGGAGATTCTAGCCCTTAGAGTAGCAATCCAGAGCCCCTGCTCCCAGACATTATATTAAACTGACTACTCTACACAAATGTATATATTATGAAAAGGTGTGTTTCTCCTATTTCTTTCTTACCACAGACTATCAGTTACTTAGGATAAAGCTTTTCAAAATGCACTAATAGTACACTACAAAGGCTTGTGCTAACTGCTGTGACTCATGCTTAATCCAAAAATGCTATAAATAATTTCTCCAGAAAAAAATGCTGTGACTGAATAATCTTCAGCTTAAAAAAGTCTACATTACATTTACTTTCTATTAATGGATCATTTCACCTGGGCATTTAAATTAATGCAAAATTCCTCATCCAGTCTAAATATTCCATCCTAGTGACATTAAAAATGAAACGAAAAGGTGGGAGAACGCGATCTTACCTAGCAGAGAAAGTTAAGAAAAAAGAGACTTTCTCAAGCAAAACACAGGTATCTTAGAGTAAGTATAAAGATTGAGATTCCCAAGCAATGTATCCGTGCATTCAATTTTAGGGGCATTTTAGTGCTTTTTATCACACCATCCTATCCTGCCGGCTCCAATCATTTCAAATATGTTTGTCTTTTCTTCTCATGCAGAATGGAAGCTCCTTAGGGGCAGAGATGGGAGCTGTATTATTTCTGTATTTGTACCAAGCACTATGTATGCTATGCAGATGCTCACTCAGGAGAGTTACAACACTATGTTAGACACCTGGAACATAACTCCTTACTCTGGAAAACTGCAGTACTCACACAAACTCTGGTGTTCGTTCACTTGTTCACTCAAAAATACTTGAGTGCCCATTATGTACCCAGCACCGAGCTAATGAGTTCTTACTCTCTGGAGCTTATGCTCTAAGTAACAGAGAGGCCAAAATTACATATTAGCAAATGAAGGGGATGAACCAGCCTGATGCACTGCCCCTCCCCATTGCGTAGGAGACACCAACAATCTTTTCAAGCCTTCTTTCCACCAAGTCCAGATGTTCCCTCAGAATCCTTCTCAAAACTATTCCAGGCAGCCACTACCCATTAGTTATAACTGACATTGAATAAATGCCAATTGCCATCTCAGGACCAGATATAAGTAAAATATAACTCACTTTCAAATCCAGCAGTTATTAAAGAACTGGAAAGATGCCTTCCATGATTGTGTGTCTTAGGATGTTTCCATTACCTTCCCTTTTTAAAAGTAACAAAGATCTCCAATGGTTTGAGAAACTCAGAAATAATATCATGACACAGGTTGCCAGGCATGCCCTCACTAAGGCACTACTTTATTGTGTCACAACCGCACCCTCTGATGTGAGCACGCTTGCAAGTTTGCAAGTTGGACCCAAGATATAACTCTAGTCTGGTTGTTCCTGAAATTACTGGAAGAGGGCGAGTATTTCTTCCATTCCTGGGAGAGTATTCACCATTATAAATGGCAACTGTGTACAAGTCTATGGATTCTTTCTCAGTGGTAACACATTTTCACTGTGGCCATATTACCCACAACCTGGCAGGCATGAACAACTAGGTATGAGAACACTATAAACATAACTATTATTGGTATGTGCATCTTCACTCAGAACTCCCTCTGCTTTCACCCTCCTGTCTCACTAGCTCCCTTGTTCTCTGCTCATTAATGCTGCTATAACAGCTCCTATGAAGGTTACCACCTAAAGAGACAGTCTTAACACCAACGAAGCATTCCTTAGGAATGAAAGGACTGGTTTTTGTTTGCTAGCTCTGAGCACAAAAATATAAAACATCTCTCTTGGGAACTATTGATTCACACAAATCTTTATAAAAGGATGAGTTTTATATATTCAAGGACACTGAATATATAACTAATGATTACCCTCTGAAGCCACCAAATTGTTTTATTTTAAATCTCTGGATTTCCATTTAAAATAAATTTCTTTACTGGTTTGACAAATAACTGCCATCTTCCTCTACTTTTTCTGAATTTAAATTTCCATATGAAAGTCTTCAATCCATGCCGGGCGCGGTGGCTCAAGCCTGTAATCCCAGCACTTTGGGAGGCTGAGGCGGGTGGATCACGAGGTCAAGAGATCGAGACCAACCTGGTCATCATGGTGAAACCCCGTCTCTACTAAAAATACAAAAAATTAGCTGGGCATGGTGGCACGTGCCTGTAATCCCAGCTACTCAGGAGGCTGAGGCAGGGGAATTGCCTGAACCCAGGAGGCGGAGGTTGCGGTGAGCCAAGATTGCGCCATTGCACTCCAGCCTGGGTAACAAGAGCGAAACTCCGTCTCAAAAAAAAAAAAAAAGAAAGTCTTCAACCCAATTAGAATTTATTTTATAATAAAATTTAGTTCAAATTAGTTCCTTCCTGGAAAATTTTATATAGAAATTTTAAATAATTTCCTAGAAGCAAATACTTAATGACAGCAATCTCAGTCAATAAACTGCATCCATATACTCAGAGCTTCTAGCATGAAAAAGAAATCAACATAAACATATGCTTTAAAATCCCAACTTGGAAGACAAAAGAGATTTTGAAGAGAAAGGAAAAGTTTCAAAAATATGTCATTAGTGTTTTGAAAGACATAAAATATTGTGATCATAAAACAAGAGAGGAGCTCTTTAAAACGGCAGAGTAAGGACCCTTGAACATCTGCTTCACGGAAGCAAAGAGAACACTGGCAAAAACTGTCCAATCAACTTTTTCAAACCTTTGTAAATTCTCATGAGAACTCACTATCATAACCAAAAAAAACCTTGTAAATTGAACAAAGGAGGCTTATAACAATCTGAGTATTTCTTCAAGAAAAATGGCTGAATCTTGGTAAGAACAGCAAGATTTTTCACTGTTCTGTTGTGCCTATATCTCTAATCCGATAGCTGAAAACCAACAGTCTCATCATCATGGTTAAGTGTGAAAACCAGCAGCCTGGCAGCCACTACAAAGAGCTGAACAAGTCTGAAGCTCCCTAAAAGTCCTCATTCCCAAAGAACTTATCATTCCACCTATCTGGCACATCCCTGTAAGCCCATTTGCAGGACTTGTCTTTATTTGACCTGACTTAGAGCTTGTTCAACATTAGAGGCCTTTTCCCTGAGGCAATGATCAAAACTAACCAGTGGCAACTGTTTAATACAGCAGATACCTGAGACAGCAGTAACAACTGGGGCAAAGAAGCTGACCAAAAATGGGGGGGGGGGGGAAGGTAGAAATTAGGATGTCCATAGCAAACTTTGACAACACTGGCATACTCTTGGGAACCTGGGAGGTCATGCATATGTGCAAGGCTTTGCACATGCACAAGCCCAAGAAAGACCCCAGAAGGCTCTATGTCCCTCTGGCTGACTCTGACACTCTGAACAAGCCAGAAGGAAAAAGGAAGACAGAGGTGTCAAATACCTTTTAGAGCACTGGGAAGCATGCCCTAAAAACACAGGGCCACTCAGTAGAGGCTGGGAGACCTACTGGTTCCACACATTTAAGGAAATCTCTGTTCAATAATTAGCTGACCGCTAAGCTAATCACCCAGAGAATTCAGTGGCCACATACAACAGAGAACAAAGACTTTAAAGAATTTGTTCAGGAAAGTCACTAGGCAAAAATAACCAACAAAAACAATAAACAGCAACAACAAAAATTCTGGGGAGGGCAAAGAAGATGATTTCCAGAGTTGCCACAGATTATTTAAAATATCCAGTTTCAACAAGAAATTATGAGACAAAGAAACAAGAAAATATGGCCCATACAAAGGAAATAAAAATGAGTTAACAGAAACTATTTTTAAGGAAACCTATACACTGGCCTAACTCAATGAAGACTTCAAGTCAACTAATATAAATATGTTGAAAGATCTAAAGAAAACTATTTCTGAAGAATTAAAGTGATAAGAACAGTGCCTCATCAAACAAGAGAATAACGATGACAAGAAAGAATTAAAAAGAACCATATAGAAATTCCAGAGATGAAAGTACAATAACTGAAATTAAAAATTCATTAGGAGGAGTTCAATAACAGATCTGAGCTGGGACAAGAAGGAATCAACAAATTTGTAGAGGAATCAATTGATATTATATCCTATCTAAGTAACAAAAACATGAACAGAGCCTAAGAGATCATCATACAAAACCAATGTACCAAGATACTCACATAATAGAAGTACCAGGCAAAGAGAAAAAAGAAAAGGACATATGGTACTTTTTAAAGGACTTTTCAGATCGGATTATTTGTCCTAGTTGTTATTGTTGCCTCAGGCATCTACCACATTGAAAAATTATCAAAAAAGATATATGAAGAAGAATGGCTAAAAACTTCACAAATCTGACATAAAACAATCTATTTAACAAGCAACTCCAACCAGGAAAAACTTAAAGAGATCCAAATCTAACACACATAACCAACTGCCACAAGAGAAGACAAAGGGAAAGTCTTTAAAGCAACAAAGGAGAAGCTACTCATTGTGCACAAGGGATCCTCAAAAAGGTAAATATCTGATTTCTCATGAGAAACCATGAAAGCCGGAGTGAGGCAGGGTGGGAAAAGGAAAACACATTCAAAGTTCTGAAATTAAAAAGACAATCAACCAAGAATTCACATATTACAAAACTATCCATCAAAAAAAGAAAACTTAAGATATCAGATACATGAAAAATAAGTTATTTGGGTTGAAATGAAAGGACACTGTACAACAGCTCAAATCCACATGAAGAAATTTTAAAAATAAGTAAAAGCAACTACATAGATATATATATAAAATTTAGTATAAAGGCGCTTTTTGTTCTTAACTTTTTTCTTGTCCTGTATAACTTAAAAAGAAACTGCATAAAGCAATAATTATAAAACTATATGCACTTACAATGTATAAAGATATAATTTGCATGACAGTAACAGTAAAAAAGAGGAAGAAAACAGAGCTAAGTATGACTAAAGTTTTTAATATTGAAATTAAATAGTATCAATTTAAACTAGACTCACCCAGCAGGGCAACAGAGCAACTCTCGGTCTCAAAAAGAAAAGAAGATTCAGCAATCTAAAATTTCAGACAAACAATGGGGACAAAGAGATGATACTACAACTTTCCTCAATGAATCAAATTTATTTACATAGGATGAAGCATCAGAATGACTTTGAACTTCTCAATAGAAACACGGATAGCTGGAACACAATGAGGTATTAGCTTTAACATTCCAGATGAAAATAATTTCCAACCTAGATTCTAAACTATCAAAGTCAGAGTAAGAAAAAGATATTCTGAGGCCAGTCATGGTGGCTCACGCCTATAATCATAGCACTTTGAGAGGCTGAGGTGGGTGGATCGCTCGAGCTCAGGAGTTCAAGACCAGCCTGGGCAACACAGTAAAATTTCATTTCTACAAAAGAATTTAAAAAAAAAAAAAAATTTTGCCAGGCATGATGGCACACACCTGTAGTTCCAGCTATTAAAAGGAGGCTGAGGTGGGAGGATTGCTTGAGCTCAGAGGTAGAGGTTGCATTGAGCCAAGGTCATGCCACTGTACTTTAGCCTGAGCAACAGAGCCAGACTCTATCTAAAAAAAGGAGGCTGAGGTGGGAGGATTTTAATATAAGCTAGCAGAAACCCTCATTTCTATTCAGAGACCCAAGCTCTTTTATAGCACCTTTTACAATATTTCTTTTTTTTAAAAAAAAAAAGCAAGAGAAGGAGGGAGTCATGTGAAGAACCTGAGAAACATGTAACTGAGAAGCTGAAACAGGTGGCTTTAACTCCAGCTCTGGCGTCAGGGGGTCAGGGCCTCCGGGGCTCCACTGTGTTGGGGTTTTCCAGGACCACCCCCAGGTTTACTGGTTCACTAGGAAGACTCACCGGACTCAGCAAAGTCATATTCGCAGCTGCAATTTTTTTATAGCAGAAAGACACAAAGCACAATCAGCAAAGGAAAAAGGTACATGGGGTGAGATCCAGAGGATACCAGGCAAGTGTCCTAGAGTCTCTCTTGGTGGAGTCACACAGGACACATGTAATCCCTCAACACTAAGCTGTAACAATACAAGTGGGATGCTTTCTATCAGGAACGCTCCTTAGAGACTCAGGGGCCAGGGTTTTTACTGGGGGCTGGTCATGTAAACACCCTCTGCCTGGCACTTAACAAAATGTCAGACTCCCAGAAGGGAAAAGAAAGCAGGTATAAACACATTGTCCTGCGCAGTTTGACACAGTGAGCCACTCTTATCCCACTTCTTGGGAATGGTGGGAACGCTCCCCAAATCCACATTTCTAGGGGCCAGGCCTGTAAGCGGGCCTTTCTAAACAGCAGTCTCAGGCCTGCTGCGTTAACTCTTTCCTGCATTCACATCTCTAGGTCTCAGTTTCACCATGTCATTTCTCCCTGATTTGCTAGTTTGCTGTGGTTACCTTTCAAAAATACAGAAGAAGCCTCCTGTTAAGATGGAAACTATGTCAATGGGTGGATTCATGGTCTGGGGCCACATCAAGTTACACAGCATGGCACGAGGTCATTCCTGGAGCCGGTTAGGGTTTCACTCTCAAGACCCGTTTTCCCAACAATCATGGTGACTGCATCATTAAATAGTCCCTTCCCTTGATATCACGTCTTCCCTGCTCATCTGTGCCCTCCAATTTTCCCTAAGACATTGTTTAGTATTGCTGTTGAGTTCTTCTTCCTCCTGTGTTCTCACCACATATTCAAAGATCAGAAGGTTGAGGTTCACAAAACACTGGAATTTTAAAAAACTATTCTCACAGATTATCCTTCGTAAAGTACAAGAAAAGTAGTTTTATTCCCATCTAATCATATGCACAGATGGTGACAGCAATTCTGGATCAGGCAAGACTCTCAATCTCAAGGAAGCACGGTCCACTTGTCTGCCTGTGGAGCTACCACTCAAGGGCCTGGGGCCCACTCCTGTCATATCTGCCTTCGAGACATCAAGACAGCTGACTCCTGTATATTTCAATATTCCATCCCATTTCCAGATGCCCAGTACTCCATGACTCTTTTGTGAAATAGGGTGGAGAAAATTAAAAAGGCGAGTCAGAAGAACAGGGTTTTGACCTTAGCTCTGACTCTTATTAGCTGCATAATCTCTCAAAAGTTATTTCATGTCTCTAGGCCTCTGGAGTTTTCATGGACAAAATGACAGGCTCAGACAAGCTGCCTTGTGAGTCCATTCCAGTTCTCTCTGGAATTTTTACATTACTTTCCCCCTTAAAGGAATAACCCAGGATAAAGGTTTCAAATTAATTTGGTGTTAAGTTTCTCCATCACAGTTAAAATTATACATATCTGATCCTTATATTATTTTAAATTTTTTGACTATAACAAAGTCACATTTGTGGACTCCAGTTGTCTTGGGTCTGATGAGACACTGATCATCTTGCATGGGCTTATACACACTGAGAATGACGTGCAAACAGAAAAGCTACATTTAAAACATGATTTCCAAAATTATAACTTATGAATTTTTATTCTGGGATGGCTTCATTCATTCAAATATATTCTAAGCACCTTCTATACTAAGTGCTATCTATATAAATATAGACACAGAATCATAGATCTAGAACCATATAAACTGTAACAGTGCTGAAGTTTTCAATACTAATTGCTTTTAAAATCAGTATGTGGCATGGAACCTGGCCAGTTGCCTGGGTGAGAGTCTTACTTCTGAGGAAGTAGAATGGGAGGAGACCCCTGATATATGATCTGGACAAAATCTCCAACTACCAACACTCTACCCATATATTCTTTGAATAAAATTACAACAGAAAAAGTATTGTAAATCAAGATATTAACTGGAAAAGAATGGGGGAGAAGAGCAGAAGAAATGAAAAAATCTGCACTCACCGGGACTGTGGCAATCCTTTTTTACTGAGATCTGCCCTCACACGTTCTCCTACATGTCTGTAAATTTCCACTAAGCTGTTTATTGCTGCATCCCGAACCTAGATGTAAAAGAAGAGATCTTACAGCTGCTCTGTGTCATCCCCCAGCATGCCCTGCTGGGACACAACAGGCCATATACCATCCCAATTTATCACCATTTTACCAGTGCAATTGTAAATACAATCCTTATATACATTTGTCCAGATAAAGCCATGTTTGACAGTTTTCACTTTGCTGATAAAATGTGAAAGGGTAGTAAAACTGTGGGACTCCCACCCCTATATACATGGTCAAGTCCATATCCTTAGTTCTTTCCATTCTTTGAGATAACTGCAGAAAACTAGAATTTTCAGACCATCTTTCCAAATTAAGAAACAACACTACAAATAAATAAATGATACTAAAAATAAAATACCATGTAAAACACTCTGGATTTAAGTTAACTACTTAATGAGCAACAAAAATGGGTAGTACAGGGTATACGACGTCCCATATTCAAGAAGCTCCTAGCCCTAAAAAGGAGATTTTTTAAAAGTCCTAAAATTCTACATTCATTACAGGGCATGATACAAAAACGTTATTCAGGAGCATAAAGAGCTTGCGGTTTAATGAAGGGAGCAGTCACATTCGGTGATGTCAAGGGATGCCATATGAAGAAGGAACCACTGCAATGTGCTTGGAAGAGCAGGATTTCATCAGGTTCAGAAGGAATGAGACGGATTCCGAATAAGACACAGCCCGTGCAAAGGCATGAAAGCAGGCATGCACGGCACATGCTTCAGGAAGAGCAAATACATCAGTCTGGCCAGACACAAACACAAACTAAGAAAGCAGCATCAAATACAAAATAAGGTATGAGAGACAACGTGGATTTTTTTTAACCTGGGGAAATTCAAACATGGATTGTGTATTATACATCATTGTATCAATGTTAAATTTCTTGAGTGAGAAAAACGACATGAGTTTAAATAAGAAAATATCCTTGTTGTTACACGATACACACTGATAGGTCTAAGGTTAAAAATATCATTATAGGCCAGGTAGGGCGGCTCACGCCTATAATCCCAGCACTTTGGGAGGCCGAAGCGGGTAGATCACAAGATCAGGAGACAGAGACCATCCTGGCCAACATGGTGAAACCCCGCTTCTACTAAAAATACAAAAACTAGCCAGTGTGGTAGTGAGCACCTGTAATCCCAGCTACTCAGGAGGCTGAGGCAGGAGAATCGCTTGAACCCAGGAGGCAGAGGCTGCAGTGAGCCAAGATTACGCCTCTGCACTTCAGCCTGGGCAACAGAGCAAGACTCTGTCTCAAAATAAAATATGTATATAGATACAGATATAAATATAGATATAGATATAGATATATGTATGTATGTATAAAATTATATCTGCATGTTACTTTCAAATGGTTCAAGAAACAAGTATGTGTCTTTATACATACATACGTGTGTACACAGAGATACAAAACAAATGTGACAAATGTTAATGTAAATACAATCTTTCAATTCCCCTGTAGGTAAAAAAATTTGCATATAAAAAGGTAGGAAGAAAAATATTTTTTAACTATAAAATGGAACAAGGCCAGGTGGTACTGGGGAGGCTGTGCTTAATTCAGTAAGCAAAGATGGGAGTTTAACAGCAAGGTAGTAGAGAATGAAAGAAGGAGGAATACAAACAAAACTTTACAATTTGAAATACTGAAGGTAACCCTCAGATTTACTGAGGGTAACTTACCATTTTTACCTCTCCCAGCAAATAAAGGTAAATCTTAGGCTATATTATCTTATCACCCAAAACCTCATGCTATGGACTGAACTGTGTTCCCCCCAAAATTCAAATGATGAAGCCCTAACTCTCCAACATATTTCAAGATGGGCCTATATGATGCAATTAAGGGCCAAGCACGGTGGTTCACACCTGTAACCCTGACACTCTGGGAGCCCAAGGTAGGAGGATTGCTTGAGCCCAGGGAAACAAAGTGAGCTCCAGCCTGGGCAACAAAGTGAGCTCCTGTCTCTACAAAAAAAAATTTTTTCAATTAGCTGGGCCAGGTGGTATATGCCTACAGTCCCAGCTACTTGGGAGGCCTGAGGTAGGAGGATCACTCAAGCCCAGGAGTTGGAGGCTGCAGTGAGCTATGATCCTACCACTGTACTCTAGCCTTGGAGACAAAGCAAGACTTTGGCGTTTTGATTTTTTTTTTAAAAGGAGGTGGCCGCATATGGTATGGTGGCTCACGCCTATAATACCAGCAATCTGGGACACCCAGACAGGTGAATCACCTGAGGTCAAGAGTTCGAGACCAGCCTAGCCAACATGGTGAAACCCGCTCTCTGCTAAAAATAAAAAAATTAGCTGGGCATGGTGGCACACACCTGTAATCCCAGCTACTAGCGAGGCTGAGGCAGGAGAATTACTTGAACCTGGGAGGCAAAGGCTGCAGTGAGCTGCATTCCACTGCATTCCAGCCTGGGCGATAGAGCAAGACTGTCTCAAGGAAAAAAAGGGGGAGGCAATCAATGAGGCAAATGAGGTCCTGATGGTGGGATCCTAGAAGGAGAGGATTAGTGTCCTCCTAAGAGAAACCACAGAGCTATGTACACACACAGAAGAGGTCATATGAGCACACAGTGAGATGGCAGCCATCTACAAGCCAGCAAGAGAGCCCTGACCAGAACCCGGCCTCCAGAACTGTGAGAAAATTAATTTCTGTTGTTTAACTCACTCAGTCTACAGCATTTTGTTATGGCAGCCACAGCTGACAAACATAGATTATCAGTTTATTTCGGTAAAAAAAAAAAAATAATTTCTAACGTGAGAAAACATTTTTACATTGAAAAATGCACATATGATGGAAGTAGTCAATGCACTATGCCTTGCCTATTATTATTAAAGTGTATCACTTTTGCTTACTTTCTAGTGATAACATCTGCTCAGAGCAAATCTCAACGGGGGACCTCTTTAAAGAAAAATCCATACCCAGTCAGCTACTACGAAAGTCTGGGCCATAAATGTTTAAGAGATTTAGTGGAAAAACTACTAGCTTTAGAGTCAAATATTAGTAAGTAGACTTAAGGACCTATGTGGACATTTAGGGAGCTGTGTAACCTTAGACAAAACCCTAGAACTCCTTTGGTCTCAATTTCCTCCTCTGTAAATTAAGGGTTGCTCTGAGGACTGAAAGAAATAACAGTTTCATTCAACAAATATTAGAATGCCTACTAGCTAAAAATGAAGTTGAAATGCCTACACCAGGCGTCCCCAAACTTTTTACACAGGGGGCCAGTTCACTGTCCCTCAGACCGTTGGAGGGCCGCCACATACTGTGCTCCTCTCACTGACCACCAATGAAACAGGTGCCCCTTCCTGAAGTGCGGCTCCGGGGGCCGGATAAATGGCCTCAGGGGGCCGCATGCAGCCGCGGGCAGTAGTTTGGGGACGCCTGGCCTACGCAGTGACATAAGAAGTGAGTGAGTGCAGCAGGCTGAGTGCAGGGTGACAAATGGCACTGGCAAGGAACCCTGGAGGCAGGGACAGAAAAGGGCTACAGAGGCTCAGGCAGGTGGGCCAGCACCTCCCTGCCACAAAGGAATGGAAGCACAGCTTTACCAGACTTGTCAAAAAAAGTCAAAAAAATAGATCTCCCAAATATACAATCATTTAAACTCAAAATGTAAAATTTAAACATTCTGCCCACACAAGCATACATACACCCACAAATCCATAGGCTGAAACCAGCCTTACACCAGCAGTTTGTGACCTATAGTTTGTATCTATAAAGCAATCAACACAATGGCTAGTGTTATCCGTATCTTTTAAACCAACATCCTTATTCTTTAAAATAATTGTTCCTTAGACCTAGAAAGTTACAGGATCAGATAGCATTTAGGGGGCTAAACTATTCTTCACTGAAGAGAAGAAATACAGATGAACAGGTATTCTTTGGTACTGCAAAGTAGGACACTCTAACACAGAAGAGGTTTAAATAAAAGCCACTCAGCCGAGACTGAAGGACAATGTAGCTGTTGGCTTCTACACAGGCTCTCACTGCTCTCACACTGCCTCTCCGTGCTGACCCTTCAGGCTCACCACAGAAAGGCACCCCAACGTGTCAGGCCATGAAGACTGCAAAAAGACAAGAGCCCCGTACATGCAGCACGCTCTGCCAGGTCGTACATGCATGCTTTACAGAATCTGAGGTCTCCAATGTCTGCCCATGTTGGTCCTTCCTTCCTCATAGGGTCACTGCACAGAGGAGGGTGTAGAAGCTGCAAGGTTAGTCACCTGCCCAAGGCCCACAGATCTGGAATGGCAGGCTGGGGCTCCAAAATACCACCTCTCTGGGGGCAAGCCAACATTCTTCTCACTTCAGCACAAGGCACCTTAATGAGCGGGTGCCAAAATAAGGGCTTCCTACAAAGCAAAAAGCTCAAAGGAAGGCTTCCACCCTAGAATGGGAGACTGGGAAGCAGTCTATAAACTGATGAGACCCTAAACCTACCCCGTCCTCCTAGAACCCAACACAGCCCCACAGCCAGTGTCTTAGAGAGTGGGTGCCCCAGCACCCCAAAACAGCTGGGCCCAACAGCCCACTCCCGGCGTGCAGGCTGCAGCTGAGGCAGGACTGTGCAGGAGTTCTGTCAGGCTGGCAGCAGAGGCGCTCCTCTTCCCTCCTCCTGAGCTCTGTCGGCACAGCCGTCCAGTTGGAGACAGCAAGGAATCAGCAATGGTCATCACATGTTCCAAGATGCTTTAGGCTTTGAAAACGTGACCAAACTCAGCAAGAGAGCCAGCAGTCAGCCTGGAGAGGCTCACTGGATGCAACCCTCTGCCAGCCTGTCTGCCAAGGGGTAGCTGAGGTGCTGGGAAGATGAAATTGCAAGTTTTCAAGCAGAACTCAGGCTTTTCTTATCTAGTCAAGGGACTTCCTATTGTCAGGATGTCTCAGACTGCTGGCTGCATCTGCTACAATCACTGCCCTGTCCCCGTGAACAAGCACAGACTTTGTACTGAAATCCATACCTCCAGGAACAAAAGCTTCTCTCAGCTCAGGAGGTACATCCTTAGTGTATCCATCACATAATCCTACTCCCTTCCCAGCAGCTGTGTCACAGACACCGGGAATCTTGCTATGTCAGGACCTGTCATCATACAAGATGATACATTTCCCCACTGCTCTAATGACTCTGAGTTGGGCTTTCAATTACTTGTAACCAAAAGCATCCTCGCCCACACACACGGTGCACCTGTGGGCCACTCTGAAAGGCTTCCCTGCTCTGAGTCACTGCATTCACAGCACTAAGGAAATGAACACTTGCCAAGGTGATTTTAAACACCAAATCCAGTCTGTTAGCCACTGCCTGAAGAGCTGAGAGAGGATTCTCCACACACCGGCTGTAGGGAAACGAAGAGCTAGAGGCTGACCACCAGCTCAGGTGCCTGAGTGCAGAGACAACCCTGATACAACAGTGTCCTCCCTGGTCTGAGATGTGGCAAATAATGGAAAGTCATTCAAATAGTCATGGGGCATCAGGAACTGCAAAGACGAAAAAGTTATAATCCTAATTCTAGAGGTTCAGAGACTAGTAGGAAAGATTAATGAAAAGATTAAAATAAAGGCAACAGCAAAAGCAAATGCAAGCTACACATGTACCCCAGAAGGAGGAATCATTAACTTGATTAGTATCAGGGAGTGGGTGGCAGAACTTCCTGGCGGAAGGGAGATATGGATTGATTATGTGCCTGTGTATGTGTGTGTGTCTGTGTGTGCAAATATACGTGCAAACAAAACATGACTAAGGCACATTGAATATATGGATTATGTTCAGAGTGCTCGGTTCGGAATGCTCTAGCTGTAAATGCTGTCTACTACAGACTACTGAAAGCTGCCTGTAGAATACCAATCTCGTCTTACAGATGAGGCAGGGGAAATGAAAAAAAGCAAAACAAATAATAAGAACTTTCTCAAAAGCAGACACATAGGCCTAGAACTCAACCCATGAAACCATTGTAGGCTCCAAACTTCTGGCCAAGACTTAGGGTTTCCTGGCACAAAAAGTATAACTGCCATTAAAGACACCAGGCAGGAAGTGCTAACTTGAATTTTTGGCTTAATGAAACATTTTAAACAAATCTTACATTTTATATCTTATTTTTAAAAACTCTTTGCTTCCTCATAAATTATTTTTATAAATTATACAATCTATGATGATTACATACAGCAGTAAGATGCAATCCATTTAATGTACTATTTCTGTTTTTTCACTTGTATTATTATTACTACCCATAAGCAGTCCAGGAGCACCTGATTTTTGTTAGTGAAACTCATGTCTGGGGGCAGCATGAGTACAGTCTACTCCAGGGCTGTCAATGTGTGGTAGAAGTATGGCTACGTCAAAATCACAAGACACTAAGGCTATCTCACAATTAAGGCTTTTCACGTATTTAAAGCACTATACACCTGAGTTTCTCAGAAACCCACTGGCACATGGCAGGGGCATGATTTCTGCAAATGAAAACGGCCATCTCAGATGATAAGAAGACTACTGAATAACTTGGCCTCCTGAGAGTCTTCTACTTGGACCAACTGGTCACAACGCACACTTAAGAACATTCACTTGCAAGGACTCTCATGAGGATTGAGGGGTGAGGCACTTACCACTGCCCCTACTTTAAAGGGGAAACTGAGGCTCAAGATCCAAGTAACTCCACGGTTAGCTGGCTGTTACATGCAAAGCAGGGATCTATGCCTTTAACCTAGGTGTCTTACATTGCATCAGGTAGCTCAAGTATTAATATTAAACATATCCTGCCTTTTGGCAACTTTAGAACAGTATGTCAAACTGTTAAAGACTCAATATTACCTTTTTTAAACAACTGAATCAACATTTTGAGAATGTGGGATTGTGCTGATCATCTGAAATTTAATCTGTGTACTTCTAAAATAAAGAATATTTAGTTAAAATCCTTAGGGACAAGTTAACTCCTTCTCTAGACCTAAAGGAGAAAAATAGTATCAGAGAGCAGCCCAGCACAAAAACAAAGTAGGCCCTTCCTGTCTCTTTTCTGCAGAAGCTTTAAGGAACTTTTAAGTGAGGCCTCCTCTGGTAGAAAACTTGAGAGGAAAGGAAAACCTGTGAAAAGTAAGACATTCTTCAAGGCCTATCTGAATAGCTTCAAGAATGAGAATGTACCCATTCAAAATTTTAAATGTGCTTAACATTCCACTCCCAATGTCTCTCAAAATCTACACCGAATCCATGTATCTTTAGGGCAGGGAAATACTGAGGTCATTCATTCATCAGTGAAGAGTCCCAGGACAATGAGATGTCTCCTTCACTTTCCTCGAGGATGTTGTCCACCTTAGTTGCAGAAGCAATATTTGAGGCTCAGAAACAATATCAAGCTAGTAATCTCCATCCCCTCCCCCCCCAAAAGCCCAAGGATTCACATAGACAAGGCAGGCCCACAGCACGAGCTCTCAGTAAATATATGTGGAACAAAGAGAGAAAAAGGGGAAAAACGGACGAGTGAGGGGATCCCGTGGGATGAACTACATCGTGGCACATACCCATGTAGTGCTCCCTTCCATCCTAGACAATGTCCCTTGTTGTCGTTCTGGACAGTGTAGGTCTGGTCTGTGTTTTGTTTGTTTGTTTGTTTGTTTGTTTGAGGCAGAATTTCGCTCTGTTATCCAGGCTGGAGTGCAGTGGTGCCATCTCAGCTCACTGCAACCGCCGCCTCCCGGGTTCAAGTGACTCTCCTGCCTCAGCCTCCTGAGTGGCTGGGATCACAGGTGTGTACCACTATACCTGGCTAATTCTTGTATTTTTAGTAGAGATAGGGTTTCACTAGTTGGTCAGGCTGGTCTCGAACTCCTGACCTCAAGTGATCCACTTGCCTCGGCCTCCCAAAGTGCTGGGATTACAGGCATGAGCCACCGTGCCTGGCCTGGTCTGTGTTTTATATTGACTTCACCATGGAAGTGCATTCAGAGAACCCAGCCTTCACCGACCACCTCAGGTTCTAAGATTCCCACAAGTAGTGTCAACATTCACATCACCTGTCTGACCAAAGTCAGCAACTGAATGAGGAACGAATCACCTCAGCAAGTTGGCTTTTCTGCTCTGCTAGAGCACTCCATGTGGCAGCAGCGACCCCCCAGAGTGTGGCCTCTAAAAGGATTTTTCCCACAGAAAACAAAAACAGAAACAAAACCAAAAGGGGGAAGGGTACAACAAAATAATCTATTTGGTAATTTAGAATCTTTTTAAAAACTAGGTTCAACTTATCTTTAAATTAACATTGACTATAAAGTATGATTAAGTAAATAAAAATGTCTAAACATTTCTTTCCAGTGCCATATATTTTCCTTTTTTAAAAAAAGATGAAGTCTTGCTGGGTTGCTTAGGTTGGAATGCAGTGGCACAATCTTGGCTCGCTGTATCCTCTACCTCCCAGGTTCAGGCAATTCTTGTGCCTCAGTCTCCTGATAGCTGGGATCACAGACATGCGCCACCATACCTGGTTAATTTTTTTTGTATTTTTAGTAGAGACGGAGTTTCAACATGTTGGCCAGGCTTGTCTTGAACTCCTAGCCTCAAGTGATCTGCCCACCTCGGCCTTCTAAAGTGTTGGGATTACAGGCATGAGCCACCACGGCCAGCCTAATGCCATTTATTTTCAACGAAGGCTGAAAAAGGGCATGAGTGGAAGAAGAAAGCAGCGAGACAGCAAACGACAGGCAGTGAGGAGGGCAGAGGCTGGGGTGGAAGGAGCAGCACAACAGCCAGAGACAGGAGAGACACCTGCTGCTGGAAACAAGAGCAAGGAAAGGGCCTGGAGAGCAGATGGGGTGCTGCAGACTCAGGGGACCTAGAGGCCAGGGGAGGCTGGGTGGAAGGTGAGCCTGATACAACCTCTTGGGAAGGTAACTTAGCAGTTACCAACCAAGATTTCAAGGAGAGGCCACTGACCATGTATAGTTCTCTTGTAAATTACTGTTCCATTTTCTGAACCTTCTGCTAATGATGTATGTTTCTTATCAGTTTGAATGAGATGACATAGTAAAAATGATTCTGGTTGAGAAAGAGCATTGAACTGGGAGGCGAGTTCAGTGTTATTTCTCCAGCCCAGACTTGTATAACTTCGTGAATTACCTGGTAACTACTCACAGGTGAGACAGCCAGCTTCTCTCCTACCCTCACACTAAGGAAGTAGTGCTTTTCATTAATTTAGGTAAAATCTGCAGCTCTTAAACATTCAGTTTGAAAGCGTTTCCTCAACGATATACACAGTTGGAGCCGCCCCCCAAAGCAAAATGAAGAACATTTCCATCACCTCAGAACAGTCCCCTCAGACCCTCTTTCAATCATTCTCCCCGACCTCAGCACAGATTCTGCACCACTACCCCTGGCACCACCCCTTTTGGCTGCAGAAAAAGTGGCCAGACATCTTATCTCGGAGGCTGGTCTGGATAACATCAATTTCTAGGTTAGTGATTTCTCAGCCCTGGGTACAGAAGAGGGCAGAGTGGCCACCACATTTAACAATTTAATACTTAAACGTATACACATTTTATACATTTTAATGGATAAATATTTTATAAATGCTAATGGGTACTGGATCTCTTAAAAAATCATCATTGCGCTATGAAGATTAGGACTACAGTGCCACCCACCTACTGGGAATAGACAGAACACCACAATGCATCTGAACAGTCTAAGCAACGACCTCCTCCCAGGGGTTTTCCTTCTCACTCACCTGGCTGTTTGGATCTCCAAGTAAGTTGCATATATGTGGCACAATCTTGCTTAGTGTTAAAGTCTGTGCTCCAGAGCTGAAAACAAAAGGAGTGCCTTCTTGTTAGTGAGAACCGAGAAAAGCAAAATGCCTGTCTGCCCACATCTGCCCTCCCTGTGTCTCCCCAACCCCCATCACCACCTCACACCAAGTCTCTCTCCATCCCATCCACGCTGGCTCCAAGTAAATGTATCTGAGGCCCCCTTTGCAGACAGTTCAAAACCTAGGACGGCTTCTCCCAGATGAGACTTTCTCCAGTCCCCCAGGGCTGTGGCCAAACAGGCCCTACCCCTTTAAAGCTGGGCCAGAGCTCTGGCCTGGCCCCAGTCCGCTTGCCTCACAGGTGCTGCCTCTGCATTACTGTCCGTCACTGTAAGGCAACTACAAGTCGCTTGAGGGACCTTGCTTAATTCTCTCGTGTGCTGTGGCAGAGCTCTCTGCTACAGTAGACATTAAGGCAACACTGCTGGATATAAAGACAGCAATCAAACCAGAGCATCTGCCCTACTGGGACACTTCTGAGCCAAGCACTGCCCTACTGGGGCACATTTGAGTTAGAATTTTCACCATCACTATCGCTGCCATGACAAACAGCCTTTGTGACTACAAATCTCTTAGTTAATCTGCCTACTACCTTAGCATAAATTCCTAGAACGGGAGCTACTATGATCAAAGGCTAGAACTTTTTTTTTAAAGCTTCAGCTACATGTGGCCAAATTTAATGGCACTGAAAAGGCTAACATATTAAGATGGAAAAAATTTACAAAGTAATATAAACATTAATCTCAATTTTGTTTTTAAAAATAACATATTATTTTCATAATCAGAAAAAAAGGCTTGAAATTTGTAATTTTTAAAAAGCCTCTCCTACAAATAAGCACATAAAAAAATGTCAACAGTTATTAGATTAAAAACAACTTAAAACCACAATGAGGTATTCCCACACACATAAAAAAAAATGGCTAAAATTAAAAAGTGACAACATCCAATGGCCAGCAAGGGTATGAAGAAACCAGATCATTCAGACATTGCTGGTTGGGAAAGTAAAACGGTACAGACAGCTCCAGGAGAAAAACTGGCAGTCTCTTGTAAACTAAAAATGAACTTAGCAAATGACCCAGCAAGTGTACTCTTGGGCACTCATCCAAGAGACATGGAAACTTATGTTCATGTAGAAACTTGTACATGCATGTTCACAGCAGCTTTATTCATAAAAGCCAAAAACTGCAAATTACCCAAATGTTCTTCAACAGGTGAATAGTTTAGCCATCTATACCAAGGAATTCTATTTGGCAATAAAATGAACTATCAGTCAATGACAAGGGCAACCTCAAGGGTATTATGCTGAGTGAAAAAAAGATAAACTCAAAAGGTTACATACTGTATAATTCCATTTACATAACATTCTTGAAATGACAGAATCATAGGGAGGAAGAACAGATGCATGGCTGCCAGGGGTCAGGGTGTGGCTACACACGGCAGCATGAGGAAGGGGTGCAGTTGTAAATACACACAAATACGCATGTTTTTACCAGAGAAATCTGCACAGGCTCTGGGGATTGTATCAATCTCAACTTCCTGGTACTGATGCTGTACTACAGTTATTCAAGATGCTAATGTTGGACAAGGAAGGGTAAGGGGGCATGAGACCTCACACTACATTTCTTTGTAACTTCCTGCAAATCTATATTTCAAAATAAAAAGTTTTTAAAAATTCAGCCAGGTAAAAATGTCAGGATCATCCCAGACTTACGCATTGAGTGTTGCTATAAGGCAGAGACAGATGCCTTCTCGAGTACGGAAATTCTTGTGTTTGAAGCCTCCAAGCATTCTGTCCCATACGTACTGCAGGTGACAAAGAACAGGTGAGGAAAACAGAAGATTGCTGTAGCTGTCACTTAGTAAGGGAGCAATGGAAGGGGAGCCTCTTAATGAGTACCAAGTTAGTCCCATCCTCTACCAACACATTTAATACTTTCAAGAGCATACTGGAAAATGATGGCATCTGTCATGTTACCAAGTATTACAATTTTTAAAACACATTCATTTACATAATTGCATTGAATTCTCCCAAGAACTCTGAAAGGGAGGTATAACTGTCCTCGTTTTACAGGTGAGGAAAGCAAGGCCCAAAGAGCCAGTGAGTTGCTGCAGATCACACACTCACACTGCCCTCTGCTTTTTCTGATCACTCCCCTAATAATGGACAGTGGAACCTGGGAAGGCAGGGCTGTTTCAGTCCATCCCAGCAGCCCCAACTCACTAGAAGACAGGGGCTAGGGCTCCAGTCAGGCCTGCTGACTCCCCAGACACTACAGCTTCCTCTTTTCAGAGAAATGGAGAATCAGTTACATAAATGAGCCGAAGAGTCTAATAGGTTAAAACCAAGTATATTAAATTCACTAATTTATTCAATACCCCCATGTTAAATCCACTAATTTTTTCATCTTATACTTTTGTGACTTATTTAAGTATCTTGCATGGGGAACAGATTGAATGCTGTGAAAATTTTTATCTGTAATACATCAGCTTAAGTCTATGGAGTCACACCATTTGTGCAAGTACACACACACCATTGTGCGTGCATGTGCACACACAGGCCCGCTGACCTCAAAACACGTCTCTTGCCCTACCTGGGGATTAGCAGCCTGATCCATGATCTTTAGCAGCAGAGTTTGGTCCTGCTCCCTCACAGAGTCTTTAGCATCTCCTAGTCTGTCTATTAGACTTGGCAGCACTGAAAATCAAAATGGAAACTGGTCAGATGAAACCCTATTTGGGGGTCTGTGGTCACCAAGTATTGCTATTTCAATTATGTGGGAAGACAAACCCCTGAACTAAATGATGTGTCTCATTCTAAAACCACTCATCTTTGCTCACAGCTCTATTCTTGCTGAAATCCATGAAAGTCAGCAAAAGCGTCTGCAAAATCTTTTGTATGGACAGATATACTATTTGTCGTCATCCTTACCCCACGCTCCTCCAGCCAGTTCCCAATGTATTTGTAAGCTGATAAAAACGGAAGACCTTGGCAGGAAGAGTCAACAGAAAAGAAAATTTAAGTAAAAGTCAAGGAGAGGGACTCCAGCATATCTGTTTGGGGGTGGAAGGGGTAGGGACTTATGGATAAATCTTAAATTTCATTGACATTGTGTGATTTTAGTTTTACATCACACCCAAACACACAGGAGACAGAGCCCAGCTTTCCATCTTCCCCCACATACCCAAATGTGGACCCTCCCACTAGTGCTCCAAGGACACCTGTAGACCAGAGGTCAGCTTATTTTAACAGTCTGTAAACCTCTATTACAAGAGATATCTCTGAATAGTTCAGCTAATTTAGGAGGAAAATGGAACACTACTAAAATATCAAATTTCTAAAAGTAATGGCTTATTTGTAAAAAGACACTAGGTGCTAGAATGGGAAAACAGTTCACCACCTTTTCAGAAGGAGCATATTGACAAGAAAGTTAACAGAAAAGAACAAATACATGTGTGCCAATGAAAATAGAAGATTCCATAAGGAAATGGTTGCGTAGAGCTGCTTAGTGTTTATACTGCCCCGGTGAAACAACAGAGGTCAAGAATTTCGAGGTATTTAAATCTATGAAATCTGTGGGTTTTGTTCCATTTGGCAGACATATTGTTTTCCCTCTAAATAAGAGCGAACATTTACTATACACTTGTAATGACATTTACAATCAGGGTGAAAATGGTAATTCCAACCACAATCATCCGGGGAAAAATACAGCTGGCTCAGTTTTATAGAACTTCTCAAAGAAAACTGCCTCTCATTAAAGGGGACCAGGGGCCAGGGACAAATATGACTTGGTTGTCGCCAAAAGGTGATGGCTAGTTTAGCATAAGAAATAAACACGGCACTAATATGAGTTCCATATAAGAACACAAAGAAGCCAGCACAAAGATACGGGGGAGGGTAAGGGCACCTGCAGGCCCAGAGGCCGAGGAGCCCAGCAGGGAGGGAAGGCAGCGGTGCAGCCGGCGGGGGCTACGGGAGGGAAGGCAGGGTGCAGCGGGCGAGGGCGGCGGGGGCTGCGGGGCGAGGACTGGCTGTTTGGAAGGAGCGGAAGGGAGACCAAGGGGGCTGGATGGGGAGGCAGGGTGGCTGCCGGAAGGGTTGGAAGCAGCTAAGTGGAGGAGCCGGAGAGGCTGAGGGAAGGCTGGGGTCTGAAGGGGCCTGGGCCGCTCCACTAGTGCCGCAGCTCACCTGTGCCGATCTGCGCCTTGAACCGATCCTGCAGCCGGGTCACGAGGGCGGACAGGATGTCCATGCCCAGCAGAACCACCTGCAATGGGAAACACCCGGAGCCAGTTAGCGGCCGGCCTGCGGGGCAGCGCTCCCGCCCACCCGCTCCGGGGACACCCCGACATTTCTAGCCCGAACGCAGTCAGAGAGTCCAGAGCGTGCATGCCGACTGGGGGAACCAAACTGATCAGCAAGAGGTAGAACGATCTTCCACAAAAAGAGCTGTGTACAGCTATAATGGAAAATACTCCATGAGGGGAAAAACGAAATAAAAGGCTATACAGCGTAGCCAAAGCCGGGTGAGCCGCCTTGCAGAGTTTAAGAGCGCGCCGCGGTCCCGCCCCCTCCAGTTCCGCCCCGACGAGGAGCGTATGCAAATTTTCGAGCGGCCGACGCTCGGTCTTCTGGGTAAAACCCGGCCGCCTTTTCTGCAACCCTTCAAGCCTCAGAAACAAAGAATTGGTGGTGTCGTCAAAAGCTGTGCAGGCTGCAGGTAAGGTAGCTACCAGGCCAACTAGGGCGGGACTCACGAATTAAATACCACAACCCTACCAGGTATTGGCGCTTCCTGCTTGCAGCGCACGAACTACCTACCGCAACCATCCTTTTCTTGGGGTTGCGCTACTGTCCAATGAGCGCATAGTGAGGGCAGTACTGCTAACACCTAAACAACACACTCGCATCAACTGAAGCTCTGCTTTACGTTGGTGCAATTTTTGGAAAAAGAAACGAAAAACCCTTTAACAACGGTTAAATTACGAATAAATGTAAGCTTTGTTTTTCATTTTATCAGTAGAGGGCGCACAGTGATTACGATTTCACGTGAAACCGCCGGGTTTTCCCTGGTAAAACGTTTCCCATTTAATGTCAACTTTCCCCGGACCGTCCAATTCAGCTGTCGTGTGATTTCTCTTCCTGCTTAACCAGCCCTGTAACCTAAGTGGAGTTGCAGTCATCGGCATTTTGGGAGGCTGAGGTGGGCAGATTAAACATGCTTCTAAACACAATTTCAGGCACTGCCCAGTGTTCATATACAGCCTGCCCCTGCCCCTGGCAGCTGATAAGAGCAAAAACTGCTGGCTTTTCTACTCAGCTCTGAATCTACTGCTTCAAAATTGAAGGAATCCAAATGGCCCAATAATCCCCACAATATATAAAATGTTCTTGGAAGAAACAGGCTGACAATATTAAAGAAAATAATTTTTAAAACCTTTATAAAGAGAACTTGTAAACAGATTTTTCCTTTAATAATATAATAATGGGGCCGGGCGCGGTGGCTCAAGCCTGTAATCCCAGCACTTTGGGAGGCCGAGGCGGGTGGATCACGAGGTCGAAAGATCGAGACCATCCTGGTCAACATGGTGAAACCCCGTCTCTACTAAAAATACAAAAAAACTAGCTGGGCGTGGTGGTGCATGCCTGTAATCCCAGCTACTTAGGAGGCTGAGGCAGGAGAATTGCCTGAGCCCAGGAGGCGGAGGTTGCGGTGAGCCGAGATCGCGCCATTGCACTCCAGCCTGGGTAACAGGGGCGAAACTCCGTCTCAAAAAAAAATAATAATAATAATAATAATAATAATAATATAATAATGGTATAAAAACTTTAATGCCTCTATTTTCAAGCTAAAAAGGATTAAGTTTCACAGTATGACTTTCTTCCAAACAGTACAGTATGAAGTGGGGGGAGTAACTACATCCAGCAGACAGCGAAGGTCACCATCAAGTACACTTGATATGGTGTTATGAAAACGGCATTTTGCCTCTGTGATAGTCCTTACCAAAACCCCTAAGCCCAGTCTAAGCATGAGGAAAACAGACAAATTCCAAGAGAGGGCCATCCTACAGAACACCTGATCAGTACTCCTCAAAACTATCAAGATCTTCAAAAGCAAGAACTCTGAGAAACTCACAACAGGAGCCAAGGGAAACATAACAACTCAATGTAATGAGGTGTACTGGAAGAGAGTCTAAACCAGAAAAATGATATTTTTCCTTAAGTAGAAACTAAGGAAATACTAATAAAGTATGAACTTTAGTAATAATATATCAATACTGGATCATTAATTGTAATAAACTACACTAATGTTAGATATAATAATGAGACTGTATTATCTTTATAATTTTTCTGTAAAAAAAAAAAAAATAGTTGATTTTTTAAAAAGAACACCCCTGCTGGGCACGGTACGTTGGGAGGCCAAGGCAGGCAGATCACGAGGTCAGGAGATCGAGACCCTCCTGACCAACCTGGTGAAACCCTGTCTCTACTACAAATACAAAAATTAGCTGGGCATGGTGACGAGTGCCTATAATCCCAGAGAATCATTTGAACCAGGGAGTCGAAGGTTGCAGTGAGCCAAGATCGTGCCACAGCACTCCAGCCTGTTGACAGAGCATGACTCCATCTCAAAAAAAAAAAAAAAAAAAAAAAAAAAAGCCAGCCCCTCACTTAAGTGAGTCATTTAGGTTTTGTCTGGTAAAATCTTAAGCATCTGTACAGTTGCATTACTGGTTACAGGTAGGGGTGTTATTCATTACAGAAACATCCCTTCATACATGTTCAAGGCTGAGGTAAAGAGGACTATAGTTTATTAGCATGAAAACTGACTTCAGCTTTTCCAGGATGGCAGTTTACTTGGTAGGTCTGAGCAGAGAGGGCCTCATTAAGTCCCGGACAGTCAGGTTTCAATGCCTTGCCTAGATGAACTAGGGAGTGTGGACACTCCCAAAGGAGACTGAGTGGGCAGATGCACCTGAGCCCCAAAGAAATAGGACAGGAAAGGTCAAGGGCGCCAGCCGGGATGACAGAAGGCAGTTCCAGCACTGACAGCTCAGGCCCTTCTCCTGGGCTTCCATTTCCCTACTAAAGAAAGGATACATGAAAAAGTCCTTGCCCAGAAGGTCACTCTAATAATGAGCTGTAAAGACCTCTTTGTGCCTAAATCTCCTCATCAGTAAAACAGGGACAATAATAACAGCTACCTCTTGGTTGTTATGAGGATTAAATAAAGTGTGAATGTAAAATGCTTGAAACTGCCTGGCACATGATAAGGGCACTTTTTTCCCCCCGTTTCTGCTTTCTTCAAGCCTTAGGTCTACAAAACCAACTTCTTCTGCATGGCTCACTGGAACACGCAATTCTGTTTTATGGAATGAAGTGTTGCCTAATTCTAAAATCACAAATAAAAGCCAATCAAAATCTTTAAATTTGTCATAATCTTTTTCTTCTAACACCATTAACTGTGTGACCCTTGAACACTGCCTCTGACCTTTTACTAATTATCTACATTTGTGCTTGTTTCCCCAGCTAAACTCCTTGAATGTAAGGAATACTACCATCTTGCATTTCCTCAGAATTCCCATAATAATAGCACGACACTGAGTACAAAGTAGGTGACTGATAAACCCTACTTTATTGACGTGAATGAGGCTGGAACAGATGAGTTTTCAAGATCCAACACAGTTCCATTATCCTAAAAACCTCTAAAAGACCCTTTTGTAAAAGAGAGAAGAGGGATGACCAGGTCACTGGGACCAACACTCCTGCTGAGCACAACAAACAATGCTGGATATAAAAGAACATCTGCTTGAAAGCATCAGAGAACTAAGGCGGCACAGAACTTCCAGGTCAAGAAACACAGACAACTAAAATTCACAGAGATGGGCCTACAGCAATTGGTCCACTTTGCCCTGGGGCCATTTAAACACTGGTAAAGGGCACAGAGAATCACTTTTAATAACCTCTTGGGTCATCTAGGAGGGCAAAGGTTAGATTCCAAAGCCCTCCAAAGTTGGTGGCCTAGTTAACTCCCTACCACTTGGGCTGGAAACCCAAATGGCCAGACTTTAGGAAGAGAGTGAGTTGGAAACAAAACAGCCTTCACCCGACTGCAGCCCAGTTTCCAAGCATCTGGGTAGTTCAGAAAAATCCTAATCCCTGACATCAGATTAAAGTGAGTTTAATCTGATGCCCAAAAGCCCTCAGCAGATAAAAGCACAAGTCATTTCTGGATTTAGAAACATCATCCTAGTTTAGTCTTCAATTTATTCCTTTAATAATTTTTCTTTTGTTATTGTTGTTTGTTTTTTTGAGATGGAGTCTCGCTCTGTCACCCAGGTTGGGAGTGCAATGGTGCGATCTCTGCTCACTGCAACCTTCGCCTCCCAGGTTCAAGAAATTCTTTTGCCTCAGCCTCCTGAGTAGCTGGGATGTGTGATTAGACCAGCTAAGTTTTGTATTTTTAGTAGATACAGGGTTTACCACATTGGCCAGATTGGTCTCAAACTCCTTACCTCAAGCTATCTGCCCACCTCGGCTCCCAGTGCTGGGATTACAAGCATGAGCCACTGCACCCTGCCTATTCCTGTAACAATTTTTCAGAGAGAACATCTGAAACACAACCAAAGATAACTAGGCACACAAGGCAAAATAAATGAAAAGTAGCAGAAACAAAGACCAACCTGAACTCTGGATCCCTGGATAGGTGAATAATTAAAAACACTTCAAAATAACAAGTCAGACCAGGCGTGCTATCTCAGCTCAGCACTTTGGGAGGCCAAGATGGGCAGATCACCTGAGTTCAGGAGTCCGAGACTAGCCTGGGCAACATGACGAACTTCCATCTCTACAAAAAAATTAAAAATTAGCTGGGTGTGGTGGCATGTACCTGTGGCCCCAGCTGCTCTGCACAGGAGACTGAGGTGGGAGGATCACTTCAGCCTGGGAGGCAGAGGTTGCAGGGAGTAGAGATCTCATCCCTGCATTCCAGCCTGGGCAACAGAGAGACACCCCATCTCAATAAATTAATTAAATAAAATAAGTCATATTATGTCTATGAAGAAAAAACACATAATTAAAGTTTTGGGTAGAGAAATGAATTTTTTTTTTTTTTTTTTTGAGATGGAGTCTTGCTCTTTCACCAGGTTGGATGGAGTGCAGTGGCATGATCTCGGTTCACTGTAACCACTGTCTCCCAGATTATTTTTTTCTTTTTTTTTTTTTAAGACGGGGTTTCACCATGTTGGTCAGGCTAGTCTTGAACTC